GAACAGTCAGTGCAAAGGCCCTGAGGTGGGAGCCGTGCTGCCTCGTTAGATCGTGCGGGGTCTTGTGGGTCATGATGTCCTTTTACTTGAGTGGGATGGAGCCAAAGGGGGGCTCTAAGTGTGGGAGGATCATGACCTCACTCAGGTGTTCATCGGGTCCCTCTGGCTGTGTGTGGGGAACAGACTCCTGGCAAAGGTCAGGGGAGAAAGGAGACCAGGGAGAAGGCTGCTGATTAGACAGGCCCAAGGTGGGGCCATGGGACTGAGGTGCGGTAAAGCGAGTGGGTTCAGGATCTATATGAAGTTTAAGACAACAGGACTCACTGACAGGTGGAATATGGATGTGAGTGAGAGAGTCAAGGACACGAGGCTCACGGCCTGAGCAGTGGAGGGTTGGATGTGCCGTTGATGAAGTTTTAGGGTGATGGGAGAGGGGGTTGGAGCTGATGGCCAAAAAATAATTCTTGAAGACATCTTTGGTACAAAAAGGTGATTTCATTAAAGTATAGCGACAGGACCCATGGGCAGTTAGGCTAACTGGTTATATACCATGGACTTGGGGGAGGTAAAGTCAAAAGGGAAGTTTCCAAAGAGACTTTCATATGCTAAGGAAGACTCACCGCTTACTGGAGGCCTAGCTATTGTCAAGCTAAGGTTGTTTTTCCCTCCAGCAAAGCATTAACATTAAGACAGTAGGGAGTTCCTGAACTTTAGGCCATTGATGCGATTGCCTCTTTCTCATAAACTGTTGGAGACTCTTCCCAGTTTAACCATTTGATTTTTGTCCTTTCCTGTTTTGGGGTAGCCTGGAGCATCCAAGGAATATCACACATACCCCCCTAGCGGCAGGGGGGGAGGGCAGGTAGGCTAGCTTGTACTCGGCCCTCGGCCTGCCCTGTGTTCCCTCATCACCATCACTTGAGATGAGAGACTGTGGGAGGGGCAGTTTCCAGGGTGAGATTAAGCCTCGCTTTAGGGTGGCCGCGGACTCCCAAACGGAGGTGCCAGGCGGACAGAAGGCTTTCCCCTTGCTCCCGCAGGCTACGGGTACACAACGCCGCTGACCGATGCGGGCAAGGCCTTTTCCATTGCCTTTGCGCTCCTGGGCGTGCCGGCCACCATGCTGCTGCTGACGTCCTCGGCCCAGCGCCTGTCGCTGCTTCTGACCCACGCACCCCTCCTCCGGCTGACCACGCGTTGGGGCTGGGACCTCCGGCAGGCGGCCTGCTGGCACCTGGTGGTCCTGCTGGGAGTCGTAGTGACCACCTGCTTCCTGGTGCCGGCTGCCATCTTCGCGCGCCTCGAGGAGGGCTGGAGCTTCCTGGACGCCTTCTACTTCTGCTTCATCTCTCTGTCCACCATCGGCCTGGGTGACTACGTGCCCGGAGAGGCCCCCGGCCAGCCCCACCGGGCCCTTTACAAGGTGCTGGTCACAGGTGAGTAGAGCGGCCGGCCGGGGACCAAGCGTGGGGCACGGCCTTGTCCCAGAGGGTCTCGGGGGGCCCGGCCCTGTCCCGGGGGTCTGAGTTCCCCCGCCGCCCCTCCGCCGTCTCCGCAGCCTACCTCTTCCTGGGCCTGGTCGCCATGATGCTAGTGCTGCAGACTTTCCGCTACGTGTCCGACCTTCACGGCTTCACGGAGCTCATCCTGTTGCCCAGTCCTTGTCCCGCCAGCCCCGGCGAGGATGACGACGATCGGGTGGACATCGTGGACCCGCAGCCGGAGTCACAGCACCAGCAGCTGGCCGCCGGCTCCCACGCCGACTACGCCTCCATCCCCAGGTAGCCGAGGCCGGGAGGACCTGGCCCGTGGCTGAGGGGGGCCACGTGACTGGCGCTGCCTTCCTGGACCGTCCGCGAGCGCGTGCCCGAGCTCTCGAGGCACTGCCACCGGCCGTCCGTCTTTTGTTTGACGTGTCCCTGTCCCAGGTTCCACCGCCACCGCCTCGTTCTCCCCCCCTGCCCCATCTCTCACTCCCCACACCCTGGGCTCTCTGGCTTCCCTCTCACTCTCCTTGTGTCGCATTCTTTTACTGACTCCACCTGCCTCTCCCTCAGCCGCTCATCACCTGCCCCTCCTAGCAGGCTCTGGGCTCAGACCTCATTTCGGGCACTCGAATGGTCACTACACTGTGGGCAAGCGGCTGCCCTTGTCTGAGCGCGGATGTCCTCGTCTAGTCAAATGGAAACGATACGTCCACTCATCCCCAACCCCCTCCCGTGAGCAGGCCCCAGGCTGAGCGGTGCTAGGGACACTGCAGTGGTTGAGATGGCCCCGGGCCCTCCTCTCACGGGTTCCTAGTCCAGCGAGGTAGACAGACCTGTCCCCACACAGTGACGACCCAGAATAGGCAGGACTGCGGTGGGGGAGGCAGGGTGGCCGGCAGTGCGTTCGAGAAGGCCCGGGCAGAGCGGGCAGGGCTGAGGTGGATGGAGGAAGCACGGGGACTCTGCCCGATCCAGCCCGCAGGGTCAGGGAGATCTTTCTAGAAGAAGGGTTAACAACTCGGCCCTGAAATCTCAGGAGTAGTCAGGGGAAGAAGGTGGACCTTGTTTTATCTCAAGTGTCCCTCGGGAGCAAGACCCATGTGGCGAGCGCGGGGGTTGGGCCTGGGCCATAGAGCCCTCCTCAGCAGCCCGGCAGGCAGGAAGCTGAGACAGGATCCGAATGGCACGGACGCCCCCGGAACAGCTGTTCCCGTTTCCCGGGCACTGACTGCGTGAGTACCCTGGGCCCTGGAGCCAGCCTGCTTGGGCTCAGACCCCAACTCAGCTGTGTCGTGCCGCTGTCCTCGGGCAGTCACTTCCCCTCTGTGAGTCTCAGTTTTCCTCATCTGTAAAATGGCAATGATCGCAGTAGTTACTCCGAAGATGACTTCACAGAGGCTGCCGTGTTATGCTGGGACGCTTTCTTTGGCCAGGTTCCGTTCAGGGTTCTTTACACACGAGGAAGATGATGTCATCATCCTTTTCCACAGATAAGGACACTGAGGCACTGGGCGTGGAGGTCCCTTGTCTTAGACACAGAGCTGGGAGGGGACTGATTTTCTGTATACTGCCCCCAGATTTGCCTCCTTCCAAGATGGTACATCAGTCATAGTTCTTGGCGCCACAGGCCCTTCTACTCAACTGTTACCTCTACCAAGCCCCGTGGAGGTTACAGAGGGGATAGGGCGTTTGAGCTGGACCTTGATAGCATTCAGGAAGAGAGGACACTTGGAGGCCTTCCAGGCAGAAGGAACCATGTGTGTCTAGAGGGAGGAAAGCATGTCAGATATCAGCTTCTGGCAAGTGGTTTACTCCAACTGGACTATGGGGTGAACGGGGGAAGGAGAGGAGGAGCGGTGGACCTGCCTGCATCTTAAGTATCCTTCAATGACCAGCTTGGGAACTTGGCGTCTTTCTCGAGGCTACTAGAGAGCCATGGAAGGATCTTGAGCAGGAGAGGGCTATGGTTAGGTTTGGGCTTTAGCTGCTATGTGGAGGTGGACCAGAAGGGGAAGACTGGGGCCGGGTGCACAGGGAAGGCTGGGACAGGAACGGAGCGGGAGATGACGGGGCTGGGCAGGGCTGAGGAGAGGGGGAGACGGGCAGTGGAGGTCATGCTCGGGAGGCCAAGTGGACAGGCCTTGTGTAGGCCTTACAGACTTGGGAGGGACAAGGCCAGGCAAAGGCCCCAGGATGGTTACCTGCCCCTGAGATGGGAACGTGGGAGAAGACAACAGGTTTGAGGGGAGACACTGAGGCTTGCTTAGAACATGGTGGGTGTGAGGAGCTAAAGGGACATCCAGAGGAAGGCATCAGAAGGTCGCAGGAACCTCTGGGCAGAGCCTCAGGGTGTGGTTGAGGCTGGAGACAGATGGGGGAACCGAGGCCCCGAGTGTAGGTGTGGCAGCCATGGGTAGGAGGAAGAGAGAAGACCCACCTTGAGAAGTCAGCCTTTGGGTATTTATATATTCACGTCAATAAGGAAACGCTTCGGATGAGCACTGGGCATTATATGGAAGTGATGCATCACGAAATTCTACTCCTGAAACTAAATTACACTATATGTTAACTAACTAGAATTTAAATAAAAACTTGAAACATTAAAAAAAAAAAAAAGTGAGAGCTTTGGGCTGCAGATAACAAGATCCTGACCAGCACTGGCTGAAACAATGAGATGATTTCTATTGCCCATCACCAGAGTTGGGGAGAGCTCTGGGCAAGAGACAATCCACAGCTCCAGGAGGGTCTTGGGGCCCTAGGTTCCCAATCTCCTTGTTCAGCAGCCCTCAGCTGAAGACTTGGCTCCACTTGGGCTCTTCTCATGGCCCCAAAGTGACCGCCACAGGTCTGGGCATCACAACCAGACACAATAACTTTTAGTGCAAGAAGAGGGGGGCATCTCTCCCATATTGTCCCTTTGGAAGCAAGGAAATCTTTTTCCAAGTGCATCTCCCCAAAGACTTCCTCCTCTATCTCATTGGTTAAAATTAGCTCACATGCCCATTCTGAACCAATCATTGGCCAGAGTGATGGAACCGCCATGATTAACTTGGATGCCTCAGGATTCCCCTGCCACCTGAAACTGAGGCTGGGGCTGAGATTTTGGTCTGGAGGCTGGTGAATGTGGGAACAACACTGGGCTTCTTCTTCTTTTTTGTTGTTTATTTATTTTTGAGAGAGAGAGAGAGAGAGAGAGCAGAACATGAGCGGGGATGGGGGGCAGAGAGAGGGGGACACAGAATCTGAAGCAGGCTTGAGGCTCTAGGCTCCGAGCTGTCAGCACAGAGCCCAACCCAGGGCTCAAATTCACGAATTGTGAGATCATGACTTGAGCCAAAGTCGGACGCTTAACCCACTGAGCCACCCAGGCGACCCGCACTGGGCTTCTATTAGAAAGGCAGAAGGGGGAGAATGGACAGATGTTGATTAACTGGCAGTCAGGGTCATCATGTACAATTGGGCAGGTTGGGAACGACATAAGGGATGTCCGGATGGCAGAGTGGAAACAAACAGGGGCTGAAGTTCAAGGCTGAAGATGACAGAAAGGGGCTTCTTTTTCCAGTTAACATGAAGGCCCCATATGGCAAGCAGTGACCCTTTTTCCCTTAATGTTTGTTTATTTTTGAAAGAGAGGGCATGAGTCGGGGAGGGGCAGAGAGAGAGGGGGACGGAGGATCTGGGGCGCGGGGTGGGGGGGGGGGGGGGGCGGGGACAGCGCAGGCTCTGCACTGACAGCAGAGAGCCCAATAAGGGGCTCGAGAGATCATGACCTGAGCTGAAGTCAGATGCTCAACCGACTGAGCCACCCAGGCGCCCCAGCAGTGACCTTTCAACTGGTGTCCTCACACAAGAGAGAGGAGCTTACAAAGGAGACAGAAAAAGGAGACCCATAGAGGAGTAGGAAAACCAGGAGGGTAGGGAGAATCCATAAGAAATGAGAGAAATTTAAGGAGAATTCACCATTTTCCAATTATGCTAAAAAGTTACACAAGATTGTTTTAATAACAGTGATAGAAAACCCATAGGATTTACTATGTGCAGGGTGCTGTTCCAAGCTCTTGATACATAATTTATTTAACCTTCTCAGCAACTCTATTAGGTACATTTTCTACATGTGACAGTGGAGGAAAGGAGGCCCAGAGAGGTTAAATAGCCTGCCCAAGGTCACACAGGAAGTGCAAGACTGGGATCTGAGCAAAGTTTTGGTTGGTCACCTTGTCCCCCAGGAGCACAGAAAACATCTGCTGTCTAGCTCTTTGCCTGCTTCCTGGCTCTTCGTGGTCCACCTTGCTGCTAAAGTCAGCAGCTGACTGGGGAAGGCAGTCACTTCTCACCTTGCAGGAGGTGCCTGTGTGATCTGCTTCTGCTCCTCACTGCTTCTCCTTCCAGATTCCTCTAGAACAAGAAACCAGGCCCTGTTCAATCCAACACACGGGGGGGGGGGGGGGGGAAGCATAGGCTAAAAATTCAAAAGGTACAAAAGACTGTACAGTGGAAAGTCAGTCTTTCTCCTACACCCAGGCTGTGTTGACCGATTTCTCAGTCCTTCTGGGCAAATAGCAGCAGTATTCATGTGTGTGCATGTGTGTGTCATTTATTTTTTCCTTCACTCTATTCAGGTGGTATCTAGTATGATAAGGTGGTTATAATTGCAGACTTTACAGGCAGAGTCCCTGGGTATAAGTCTTAACTCTGTCACTCTCAAGCTCTGTGACTTTGGGCAAGTGATTTCACCTCCTTGTGCCTGAGTTTGCTAATCTGTAAAATGGGATGATAACAGCACCTACCTCATGGACTTCTTAGAGAGTTAAGCAACTTAATATCTGTAAATCTCTCAGACTAGTGTCTGGTGCTCAATAAATTGTTGACTAATGATTACTGTCTTCATCTCTGCACCTTAATTTTTTACATTATATAAGTCATATATATCTATATCTATCTATCTATATCTTTTATATACTTTTTAAAGTTTATTTATTTTGAGAGAGAGAGAGTGAGCAGAGGAGGGGCAGAGAGAAAGGGGGACAGAGGATCCAAAGCAGGCTCTGTGCTGACAGCAGCGAGCCTGGTGTGGGGCTCGAACTCATGAACTGGGAGATCATGACCTGAGCCGAAGTTGGACGCTTATCCAACTGAGTCACCCAGGCACCCTTATATACTTTTTCTAGCACTAGTCTCATTTCTGCACCTTGCTTTTATCACCAACCCAGTAAAATTAGGAGATCCTTCCTGAGACATACGAGTAGGTCTCACATCCTTTTTCTATGTCTGCAGTGCCTCCTCTAGGACACACATCCC